ATGTTACAGCTGCTCAAGCACTGAGAAAATGACGGACAGCGTACAATCGCTGAGGGCGGAAACTACAGCAATGCAGGGCTGTCAATCAACCCCCGTGGCCCGGCCCTATACAATGTGAGATCACACTGCATGAGAATCAAAACGGCAGGCCTAGTAGCTGGGTTTCCATCCAAAGTTAAGAATTTAACTTATGTGCAAAACTGGAATATCGTATAAAACATTTGCGAACAAGCATCGTTTCCATCCAACAAGTCAAAGAGAACTAAATCGTCACTTCCTGATAAACTGGCACTATAAATCACTAAGAAAAGTAGGAGAATATAATAATTTTTATATAGGCCTATAATAAATTACTTGCGCCTCAGAACGAGACTACAATAAATGCGGTCATTGTTTTCGGAGGTGGATGCTGCTGTTTGGGAACGCAGTCGTGTAAGACATTTCTGGGAGGCAATTATACAGAAATACTTTGATGGCAGACTTTGCTCGGGCATTTCCGAATGACCATAGCAACATTTCAGTTGCTGTGAATGAGATCGGTCCGCTGGTTAGTCAGGTTTTGCTGTCCCATAGCGCAAAGTCACATGACTTTTTTGATGGAATTTATTTGCAAAATGCATTTCCATCTCCCATTATTCGCATCAACCATTTGCACAAGTCAAAAACCACCTCAAGCGAGCGTAAAAAATTTTATGCGAATTAAGGGATTTTTATTCAAAATTTGTTTCTTCAAAAAGTTTCCATCACTCGTTTCTCATGCGATACTTCAAAATGCGCATTAAAATAGGGTAATGGTAACATAGCTATTGAGACTGACTTGGTTTAAAGGGGATTAAAAAATGAGGAGTGGGTGGATTTTTATCATTGTAGGGTGGTTGTGTTCACACACTGCCAACACACATTTATGTCCAAACACCACGTAAAAGTGGATTTTGCATAATAGGTGCCCTTTAAAGAAAAAAATAACTTTGAGGACTTTGCCTCCTCGCTTCAGAACACCACCACACACCACTGAGATGTGTGTGTGTGTGTGTGTGTATATATATATATATATATATATAGGAACATTTCACCCCTCAGTGTCTGTGGTTGACATAACAGACTCTTTCAAAACGGCAAAAAAGCATGCCAAATCCCACCTGCTCTTTACTATGTTTACTTAAGGATCATGTTGTCACTGTTGACCTTGGGGAGGATTTGATTGCAGATGGCTGAGCTTTCTATCTAAAATCTCATGATCCCCTTTAGTATTGCTCAACATAAATCAAAGTGTTCCTTCGCTCGGCAGAGAGACAGTACTTTTACTTAAAGATGAGGTCAAGCCCACCGAGGATAGTTTCCATGCTCCAGAATGTGATGAAAATGCAAATCTCAGTTTTTAATTATGTATACGGGCAACATATTTAAAACTAGCATATTTGACATAGTATCCTCAATTCATACATGAAACAAATCCCCAAAAGAGTCTTCCATAAACTTTTCAAAATAACATATTTAGCATAGCCAAGTAATAGATAAAATAAAGCTACTGTAGCATAACATGGTCTAAAATAATTAGCACCTTTATATGACATCATCGGAAGATTATTACTTCCTTAAGCCTCAACGGACCCCCGTTTATTTTTGTAGCATCCATTTGTATATTCTACAAATGGTAGAAAAAACTAGTTAATTATTCCCTGGCTGTCCTTAGCAAACAAAGCCTCAGTGCCTTAAAACGAAGAACAGGTTCTGTTAACCAAGCATAAATTGTCAAAACCTGGATTATTTTAGGTTTTGCTATTCAAAACCATTCAAGGTCAAACTAACTTCTCAGGAACTGCAATCGGCTGTGCTGAAATGTTATAGTTTTATCCCAACGGGCCCTTCTAGAATGACAATCACATATAGCGAGCTGATCTTTAACTCTTTAGCTGTCAGATTGTGGAGTACAATGATCTAATCTTGAGTCTGAGACCAAGGAACATTCTCAGACCAGTGCCATCATATTCCTGTACGTGTACAGGAAGACATTCCTTTATCTTCCTCCTAGCCCTGGTGCATTCAAACCCTACATTTTAAACAGAGCCATTTATCACACAACTCTGTCACAAAGAGCTTCCAGACAGAACCTGGAGAACAAAGGATTCATATTCCATGCAATGCACCGATGGCAACCTTTGATGTTTATGTCGCCTCATAGATGAATTGCACCAGCCCTCGGTATGGGAGTTATTCCCTACTTCCTTTAAAGATCTTAAAATGAGCAGAATTCACTCCCACAAACTTATTACTTTTTTTGGTCACCTTTAGCAGTTTTTCACTGTGAGAGTCCTCGAGGAATGGTATACAGCAGCAGCAGTATCTCAGAAAACAACGTGAGCGGCTCCACGGAACGGCTTGTCCACACCTTTGCAGTCAACAAAGGAGCACAAAGCCTTGACCATCCACTGCAAAACCAAGCCGCTGATGATAACATGGACAGTTGCTGTCATCTCTCTTTGACTGTCGTCATGGAAACTGATCAACCGGGTATCGGAGGCCAGGTGAAGTGTCTGCTTGCCTCCAGCGAGCCATCTGAAAAATGACAAAACAGAGCGCAACAGATGTTTTACAATCATCCTTCTCTGACAAACGCTCTGGTTAGAAATCAAAAGATAATCAATTATAAGAATTAGAAGCAACCTTCCATCTGTTGAAATGTGGTAATAAATTGGTATAACAATGTATCACTTTAAATTAATGAATCTAACTTTTCAGAAAGTTTCTCGTTGATTGTTTCTTGAATGTATTAGCATATGATTGGTCTGTCTTTCAGAAGAATGGAAATAAAATTATATTAAATTTGATATGCCAGGTTTGACATCATGGATCCTAAAATGACATTTTAAAATGCCATACTAAAATTGGTTCTTGTGTTTCATTACCAAATGCAACATGCCAGCGCAAGGCAAGATTTCCTGTGAATAGCAACCCGATTCATATGGAATTAAAAGACTCAGTCTCAAAATAATAACTATTTTTATGGTTCTTTGTGTTCTGACAGTCATATGGAAAGCTGTGTAAAGATTAATTAAAAGATTAATCAAACATTCTGTCCGTTTTGTGTTAAAAAAAAAAACAAGAGGGTAAGTAAATACTGATTCTTATTATTTTTTTTTTACTTCCTTTTGCATGAAATATGCCTTCTAGAAGGCAAACAATTTGAAAAAATTTGCTTTCTGTTCACTATTGAATGCTTAATCGGATTTTATTTATTGGCCCTTTTCTAGGAAACACCATTCTGGTGGATATGGATATATGGTTTTTGCCATGAATGAATCTGAAACTTTAATCTAAATCCACTATTTAAAATGAATTTATTAAAGCAGAATTCTGACTATAACTGAGAGTCAGTCTTAAGGACTTTTATTCTGGCTTCTGTGCACAATGTGAAAAATGTGCATATTTGAATGACTCATCAAACTCTTTGTGAGGCAGAGAGAGAGACGGAATTCTTTGAGAGACTAAACAGGATGTCTCACATAACCAACAGAACCGTTTGATGGGGGCAGAAATGTGCAGCTTTAGAGAGAAATGCAGATGAACCAGTTTGCACGCTGCATTATGATGGGGTCATGAGTGTATTAATTAAATTCACCTAAGGACCGGGTCGGTTTTCATTGCAGAGGGGAAGATATTTATATACTCTCCGTTTCTTCAAATAAAAAAAAACAGACAAGTCTGAAGTCTCAGTTTATGCAAAAATATTCCATTATAGAAAGAAGCTACTCAGGCCATGCCATAGGCTGCCTCAGCTTCAAAGAGCAGCCACAGTGAGACTGTATTTTGTGGGGAGTGCGAAGACCCATTACATTACATGCTAGCAGTGGGTGCCTTTAGATTACCACAGCCTGTGAAAGAATTAGGATACTGATAAAACTGCTAGCAATGAGGGCAGGGACACACGCGCTGCCATCTATTCTCTTTTATCTATTGTATTCTCTTATGTAAAAGCTGGATGACGGTACTTTTTACTCACGGGTTACTATGAGCTGAAAGAAAGCAGCTAGTGAGTAAGGGATACAGCTTCACTTCATCTCTGAGATGGGGGTGATGACGTCAGTATTCCACTAGGGCTACACAAACAGATATTTTTAGTAACTACAACTCTGGGGACAGCAACTAGGAGACATGTTTACCCTATGAAATAAATGAGGTGAAGTACAAGTTTCATCATCTCTCATAAATTATTGAAATTATGCTTATGTGCATCAATGCAAATGCATAGATTAAAAATCAGACTATTAGTTTTTCTGACAGGCCCTTTCTAAATAACAGCATCACGTTTTGTTGTCCTCAGCTGGATTGGTTTATAGAGATCCTCAGCTGGAGGGTTGCAGGTCTATTCTGAGAAATAAAAGTGAGTTCTGAGTTATAAAAGTGCAACTAAGCATTAAATAGTCTTGTAAGGAGGAGAACACACTTCCCATGTCTTGTTGTTGATGTGAGCTGTTCAAAGGTCAAATTCCTGTCATTAAACTATATAATTACTATTTTTTAAATATTATTCTAATAGGATTAATAATCAATGCTTTTTTGATTTATTTTGTTCAATAACCAATTTTTGTCCTGCCTTGGTTCACCCTTTGATGCCCTGGAAAACGCACAAAATACTGTCTTACATGATCTTTTATACCAACGTCATTTGAATGAATATTATTCATGGATTAGTGTTGAATAATGAATTTATGTTGTCCGTATTCATCTCAGTTAAACTCTTACAAAAACAAATTTGATAAATTATTATTATTTTTTAATGCGTTATTAATTCAATGCCACAAGAACATGAGGTATTACATATTCACATTATCAAATTAACATTATTAGCTGCCAGAGAAATAAAAAAAATAAAAAAAGGAAGAAAATTACATAAAGTTCAATGCTTTCAGAGCATTACATGTTTTCAATGCTTTTTTGTTTTTTTGTTTGTTCTAAGAGATTTACATATAATTTAAAGTCATCAAATTTGTTTCAATTAGAGTTCAGCATTGTTTTCAGTATGACGTAGTAAGGGACGCGTGCGTAAGGAGCGCCGCTGCCGTTCAGGAAGGGAGGAACTACAAGCAGACGATTAAATATGCGCACAATCCTCTTGTCTGCACTCTGCAAATGTTTAAGAGAAACAACAATACTATCCATTAAGAGGATTGTTGCAAGTGTTCTGTTACTAATAAAAAAACGCCTAGACGACGAATAATTTCACCGTAGAAATAAGAGAAATATAAAATGGCTAGCAGGTGAGTCGTGTCGATTTCACATTTACAGCGAATTTTTTTTCCAAGCAAGTCAAAAACAAAATGTCTTTGTGAAGTTGGGTCCGGCTGTATCTTTCAACGAGTATTTTGCACGTCGCGTTAGGTCTATTTTGTTTATCCGGAGAAAATATTTCCTGCACAGTTGCGTCTTCCAAATTACTAGCGCGCCTGCGCAAAACAGGCAAGGCAATCTGGGATCTGTAGTTTTTGCTATTGCGAACGTCAAGGATAAGTTTGATAATACTAAACGTAAACAAATAACGATGTATGTACATTATTAGCAACAATAATAGCATTATAATATAGGGTATCTGTATATGAATGACTACCATAAAACGCAGGAAATGCTTACAGAGTCCTCACAGAAAAACATGTGCCACACAGATAGTGACTATTTTCCACTAATGCTGTTATTTGATGTGTTTCAAGCTGAAAATTGGTATGCTGTGGCCACAATGTCAAAAAAAGAAGATTCGGGAGGAAAGAAAGGGTAGGTATTGTTTTCAAAAGTTTACGTGCTGTAATTTTTCCACTTTTGTAATGTGAAATGTACATTCAAATGACTGTTATTGCAAAATAACTCCCGACACTGATACAATTACCGTTTACACTCTCTTATATGCTGCACACAAGCATGATTATTTACATTACATATTCATCTTTCCACAGTTCTCACCAAACTGAACTTTACGCAGAGGTCCCTGCGACATGCCTGCCTATTGTCTATTCCCCAGAGTACAACATCACCTTCCTGGGTTTGGAAAAGCTGCATCCCTTTGACGCTGGCAAATGGGGCAAGGTCATTCGCTTCTTAAAAGGTGTGCAGCACAACTGCAGGTGGAATTTGCCAGGCAGGCACTCTAACCAGTGTGTAAGGTGATCTATAAAATATATATGATATAAAAAGAATTGGGGAACCAAAGAGCTGCAAGTCAGTGCAGGAATGGAGGATGGTGGGGAGGTATAAGTGGAGAAGGATAGAGAGAGGAGCAATCAGTGAGGCAGAGATAATGAGGGAAGCTGAACTCCCCTCGGGAACAGGAGCAAGAGGATGTTGGCTTCTCAGCTGCTGCTGCAAGGTCAGGGGCAAAGTGTAACTCTGGCAGCTCTTCAGATAAACTAGTCAGCAGCGCAAGCTCTTTTTCCTCATTAGTTCACTTAACAGTTGAAATGTGCTGAGCTTCCACAGCTCACCATGTATTTTTATTCGACTGTCAGATATTTGTGTTCACATTCATTGTTGCAATATGATACATTGATTTGTTTCCAGAGGAGCAGTTCATCACCGATGAGATCATTGTTCTAGCCCGGGAGGCCAGTGAGGCGGATCTTCTTGTGGTTCACACCACACGTTACCTGAACAGACTCAAGGTAGAGATGCAGTGTCTGCTGTGGCCATGTCCTGTGTTATCACTTCTTTTCCTAGCACCCATAACTCCATATACTGATGGCAAAAGGTTACTATAAGCAATACAAATAGCCAATTATAAAAGCCACATTCTGATTTTCTAATTGTTTTGTCCTTTACCTCAAACCGGCTTGCAATAAACTGCAAATGTACTTGTTGTAGACCTTCTATGAGATCAGTGCCAAAAGAAGAATCAATTTTAATCTATTATAGCCCCATTATGACTGTGCGGACATTCCCTACTTTATCAAAAAGACATCTAGACTTCTCATTTCATCTCACCAGGAATGAGCCAGTGATGCACAGAGGAAGTGTACAATAGCAAATTGCACTGGGTTACTCCGAGCAGGCCTTTATTTCAATCCAAATCAATCAGTTCGCAGTCTTCTGCAAAGATTGCAGTCTGCCAAGAGGCTCTAAAGCACCCATGAGTCAGCTGCCCCATCATGCAGTCTGCACAGTGAGGAAAATGTAAAGGAGCAGTTCACACATAAATGAAAATTCTGTAATTATTTACTCATCCTTGTGTTGTTCCAGAACTGTGAGCTGTATAATAATCAACTTTACCAAAAACTGCTGCCGAAGTAAACTTTAAATAGTTTGTTGCGTACAACTGTTATAACAACATGTATGAAATGATTTTAAAATGGTATTAACCCTTCAGTTATAGACTTCCGATGAAAGAGCATCAAAAAGTTGTTCTATTGAATGATTGATCATCGAGTCATTTGTTCATGAATCGAACTATACTAGTTACACTGTATGTTTTTGAGTCATTTGTTTGTGAATCAGATTATGATGGTTGTGTTGTTTGTTTTATTCACTAAAAATAACCTCTTTAAAAGCATAATTTTTTTTCCTGAATTGAGTTGTATTTTGTAATTCACTAAAAAGAACCAGCTCAGAATGGGGTCATGAATCGGACTACACTGGTTGTGCTGTGTTGTTCACTAAATTTGCTAATAAGAAGAAGAGTCATTTGTTTGTGAAATCTACAGTTGAATTGTATGTTAACTGTGCGAGCCGTAAGAACAAAAGTAAAAAAGTGCTTTCTTGCTGTTTTATGGTGTATGGCCCTTTTTTATCGTATCAAATTCAGTTGTGTTTGCCTTGGTACAGTGGATTCAGTACAGACACGTTGCTGCTGAAAAGCGATACGGGAATGCTGCAGATCGAGCTTGCTGTAATGAAGATCACGATTAATCAGAAAATCAATATTTTTAACCATCTTTAGCTAGAATGAATGGCGTAATGCACTGTGGCATTTTAAGACATTCGTTGTGTAAGAGAACTGTGAAGATTCTTCAGAATGTCTCATTTTGTGTTCATGGAAATGCACGTAGAATCACACGAGGGTGAGTAAATACATGACAGTTTTAATTTGGGGTGAACTTATTCCTTTAAATTAGGCGTTCGATTTCCTGAATCTATATTTGGTGATGCATGTGTTGCTTCAGTTGTCGCTTGTACTGTAGCTGAGTCCCACTGCTCTCTGCTCACTTATGAAGGTTTATCGTTCAGCTACTTGGTCACCCTTTAAATCGGCTCTGTGTATGTATTCTCTCTTTCAAGCAATAGAGACTGTAAATGCACAGCAAAATATATATTTAATGGCATGTTTTCCCAAACAGTTGAAGCACCTGGGCATTATGTGGACTATATTACCACCTAAATAATTTTTACTTGTAAAAAAAAAACCTTTAACAAAGCAAACATAGAGGTTACAGTTAAGCGCTTATAAGGATTTAAAAGCAGAAATATGAAGCTTATAATTTTATATAGGCAATTAACATAAATTTTTTTTCTGTTAAAACTTGACTAAAGTCGTACAATTAAATGCTACTTAGCAGGCAATTTTTTCATAATAAAATCATGTTAACACCCATATTGTTTACTCCTTGTGGCTATACTATTAAAGCAGTGTTTTAATGTTTACAGATTGGCCTCATTCACCTTTATTGTAAGTGCCTCACTGTGACTGTAACCCAGATTTTTTTGCTTTTTAAAAAAAGGATGGACAAGCCGAAATGAATTTTTATGGTAATCAACATTATTCCAAAAAGGCTGTTGATTGAGCCGAACCCATGAAATTCCTTTAAGGCACATTGGT